GCTAATCCGGTTCACGACCTATTTATTCATTACAATTTGCTCATTCACTACAAAAACTCATCTCTCATCGTTCAATCCTACATATTCCGTAAATTTATAGGGAAACTACAATACACCCTATGTCATAAAAATTTCCTTATGTACACATGTATATAAAATACATATATATACGAAAATATCGTGATGGTATGAAATGCAAGGAGGGGGGTGAAGCTAAAGCAAAACTAAAACATAACAAAACACAATCTAAAATAATTGATGTTAGTACCTTTCAACACCTATCGTCAACTCCTGTCTATTTACCAACCTCCACACAAGGCAAAATGCGGTACAAGGACAATTTTTAACGTGGGGCGCCCCTAGCCTATAGGATCGGGCAAAAATTGCTTGTAGACCCCGTATACACGGCTCGGGTGTGTCTTTCTTCCCAAACAAAACTCTGCCCTTCGGCATAGCCTCGTCTGAGCTCCTCTCCACCCGGAGGCAGAGAGTTCGAAAAGAGAGGAAGAGGATATTTATCCTTGAATAAATAGAAAATGTGGCACAAGGCCGAAATGGGGAAAAAGGATGGTCTTCTGTCTTAACTTTAACTTAACTTTAACAGCAAATTATTACGTACCTTTCTCACCACATCCGCCATAATACCTCAATGTCTCCATGAAAATACTAACTAATTCCCATATGTACAATTTATCGTCTGTGAGGGGAGGGTAATAAAACAAACAATTTAAGACAAGGAGATTTACTTGACTCCCCCCCACATCCGCCACTGAGTCAGGTTGTGACACAAGGTCAGTTTTTAACGTGGGGCCCGGAGTGTTTTCACTCGGGCCGCTTGTCTAAGCTGGTCTTGGCTTGTCATAGCCGGTCCAAGCTAGTCGTAGCCGTGATACCACCAGCACAAAGACGGGTCCTGGGACAGGTAAGGATATTTACTACGTCCGCATCCTGGGTAAGACGATAAACTACGTCCACGTCCTGGGTAAGACGATAAACTACGTCCGCATCCTGGGTAAGACGATAAACTACGTCCGCATCCTGGGTAAGACTATAAACTATGTCCAACAGCAAGGCCTCTGATCAGGAGGTTTTGAGGAGCGTGGAACCACCACTTAATTGCTGGTGCTCCCAGGTCCACTCTGACCCGGGGTGGTAGCACCTGTTAGGGTCCCAGCTATGGGCAAATAGTTAACACCCAAACTTGTGTAAAAGTAGGTTTTAATACCAGAAATACTTTGTAGTAAAAAAATATTACCAGCAATAAGTTTTGAAGGAAAAATTAATATAAGCATTACATAAATAAAAATACCAGTAGTACAAAGAGCTATTGAAAAAAAATACCAGTAGTACAAAGAGATATTCTTTGAAAAAAAATAATTGGAGTCGGGAAATGAGAATACAAAATAGTGTGAACAAAATATTACCAAGTGAGTAATTAAAAAAAAAAAACAACTTTTTACGAAAATAAAACCATCTAAGATTGTAAATTTCCCAAAAGAAGTTGGATTGTACTAAAAAAATTGAGTGATTGAAAAATGGTTCAAATATATATATATATACATACACACCTTTTTTTACCAAACTATCATTATGAATCTGTTTCAAAAATTTTGTTGGCATTAAATGACCCACTGAGGTTTTGATATGCCATAAAACAAAACAACCAACTAAACAACGTTATTCTTTCATGCTTAGTAACCCCTTGTGTATTAGTAACTTTATCGCCTTGTTTGCGGGGGATGGGTGGGGGGAAATGATTAAAAAAAAGAAAAAATATATAGCGTTCTGTTGTCGTCTGATAATTATGGAATTATCTAAAGCAGTAAAGATAATCTGTTTAATTAGATTTTCTTAAAACTGTGCCGAAATATTTAAACAAGTGAAAAATACAAAGTCTAATTCAATTTTATTATTAATTAAGAAAAATTAGAAAATTATTCAACCGTTTCTCTCATGGAAGTTCTAAGTAGCTATGACCAGAGTAGCAAATTCAGCTGCACTTGGGATAATGAGAAAAGGAACTTAAGGAAATAGATCACTTGATAAAAATGTTGTTTGTACAGAAATTTTGGAGAGCTAAGAAGACGTCGATGACAAATGACTTTCCTCTGTTCGTATAACGCTAGCAACTTTGATGACTTGAATGCTTTGAACGAAGCCTACCCTCTTTCACTTTTGTGTTTGTCCTCGCCGTTTTCTCAAACGACAAGCATTCATCACAGTTTTGAGGACAGCATTCAAATATATTCCATAGTTTTATAAATTCTCTAGTTGCTTGTGAATCGCTGTCTGTGGCTTTTCTTTGTAACTAATTTTATTTCATTTTACACCGTCCGGCAAAATGGATGTGAATGAAAGTCTCGCCGAAAACATTTCCTGTTTATACAAATACAGTTCGTAAAATGTCGGTCTAAATTGTTGCGATAAAAGCAAGTGAAATGAAGAACTCAATATTAATAATAAAAAAAAGAAGATTTATAACAATTTGTATTTGACTTACCAAATGGCTTGCTGCAAGTCCGTAATGTCCCCCTGGATGGCATGCTGATGTAAAATGGTCATGGCAGCTTGCGGTAGTTTTCCAGCCCATTTTGAGACATCATCCTAGTGTAAACGAACGAGATTTAAACGTGAAAGAACGAGATCTGATGCCTTCTTCACGACAAAAAAAAAAAAAAAAAGAAACAAATTATTTTCCCATTAAAAATAAATCTGATAGGTTGGATAAGCTCAAATTGGCAGCCGATCTCAAAAATGACCTACAATATGTTATAAATTAGACATGACCTGTTAATTTTAACGCCCCCAAAACGGAACTTTTCTCTTTTAATGTAACTTTTATTTTTCCTAATCTCCAGGACAGTGACTCATTGCGCCTTCTAGGATTAACGTTTTCCACTGACATGAGCTAGAAAGATTTTATGGAATCAGTTGCTACGTTTACTGTAAGAAATTTGGTTCACTGTGACGTGATAGACAATTTCTCACGCCAGAATCTATCGCATACATATATAAGTCTCTCATTTATCAAAGCATTGAATATTTCTGTCATATCTGGTCTATATTTTTAGAGATACTTGATAAAATACAAAGAAGAATCTGCGATGTTATCGGTCTTGGAATGGCAACTCGGCTTCATTCACTTTCTCACCAATGTTACGTAGCTTTCCTGTGCCTTTTCTATAAATACTTTCATGGTAATTTTTACTGACGAGCGTTTCTTTTTTGGTAACTAGACTTTAGGAATTTAAGTGCAATACAAGATTGGTGACATGTTCCCCTTATTTTACAGTTGAGATTGCTAAACGTAAATGTAATTTCTTCGCTAACAGTTTCTTTCTCGCACTTCTCGCTTGTGGAACTCTTCGAGTTCCATACTTTCTAGTCAGTTTTAATCTTCAAAAATTGAAATGCAATGTGAATCGTTATAAAATGTCTTAATTCCTGTTCTTTTATTGTTCTCTCTCTCTTTTTCTTCTTCTCACATTCTTTCACATTCAGTAAACCATTGTGTCTTAGTGGCTTTATTGCCTTGGTTGGGATGGAATGATTTAAAATATATAATGACGCAGGTTGTTCAAAAAAGTTAATTGAAGAATATTAATGAAATTATATTTCTTACGATTTACTATTTTTACCGAAAATATTTCTGTCTATTTTTGGCCACCCCCAAAATTTTCCTGGAAAATTACATATTTGAAAAAGAAAAAAATTAACGCGGTAGCGAAGACATCTGAAAAAATGTTGAATCATGTCATCTCGATAGATGTTGATAGTTGTAGACACAGGACCTCGCCTACGAATGACCCTTCCCAAATAGGCGAGTACGGTAGCAATATCCCTCGTCGGACACGCCCAGAATGATCTCCAAAATCAATACTGGGCAACCTGATACATAGAATCTATGAATATGTCTAAATATTCATGAATCAGAGCAACATAGGAATCATCAAACAATGACGTTCTTCGGCGGACCCAACTCTTGCCACCTGAACACAACGCACACCATTATTAACCTATCACCAGCCTGAACATTGCCTTGTTGTCAACTACGGTCTATAGATTCAGTAGATGTGTATGAAGCCCGAATCCTACTGTGGCTCATTAGACTCATATTGCTTGTCCTCCAGGGTACAATAAGTACGTGAACTTCATGTGATAAAATCCTGATCCTTCTATCACTCTTTTAGCCATTTACCGCTTTTTGGCAAAATATTAGAGACTCCAATTAATTCTAAATTAACCAAGCATCTCACTTCGCAGAGAAGCAGTATGGCTTTCGCTTCTCTAGGTCAACTGATGATATGTTAACGACTACTGAAAGAGTCTATCAAGAATGGTGAAGTTTGGGCTGTTGCTTTGAATATCTCGAAGGCATATGACGGAGTTTGGCATATTGGTCTTCTTCACAAGTTGAAAGGTTATGGTATTTTTGGATGAATTTTTTAAACTGATTCAGTCATTCTTATTAATTCGTGAAATTAAAGTAGTCTTGAATGGACACTCTTCTAGATCTTTTTGCATGAATATAGGTGTTCACCAAGGTTCTATCTTTGGAACTATGTATTTCCTAATTTATATAGATGCCCTTCCTGATGACATCAAATCTCAGCTCAGTATCTATGCTGATGGATGCTGGGAGGTCTCCTGTTCCCATATTTATGGTAAACTAAAGAATGCTGAATTAACTTGCTTATATATATATATATATATATATATATATATATATATATATATATATATATATATATATATAACAAGTTTACGATAAGGAGAGTGAATGTAGAATAGGCATAGTGTCGCCCAACACCGCAAACTGCTACAAAATCAAAGTGTTACCATAAAAACTCGACCCACGTTCTTAAATTGCCATGTCAGATCAAGAATTTCATATGGATGTCATGTATAATGTCAGACTGTAATCCTGGGTATGATGACAAACTACATCCGACAGCAAGGCCTCTGCTCGGGAATTTGGAGGTTTGAAGATCGTGAAACCACTTCTTAATTGCTGTTGTTCCCAGGTCTACCCTGACCCTGGGGTTGTAGCACCTGTTAGGGTCCCAACTATAGGTAAATATTGAATCCCAAAACAAAAACAAAACACAATGAAAATGGAAAAAATACATATTTATAGTAAAATGACTAACAATTCATTTTATAATAAAATCGCCAACAATACATTTTATCTGTAGTTAAAGGCATGTAATTGCATTCAAAATATATTTAGTTGAAGCCATAACAATGTGTTCAAAATATTTAGGTTTCGGCATTGAATAATCCTTAGAGAAGTGATTCCCAAACGCTGCGGCGCCCCTCATAGGAGCGACGGAAGAGGATAGCAGGTGGGGCGGAAGAGAATAGCAGGTGAGGCGGAAAGAGGCGGAAGGATAGCAGGTGAGGAGGGCAGCAAGTGAGGCGGAAGAGGATGGATTGAGGCGGAAGAGGATCGGAAAGGATTTAGGCGGAAGAGAATTTTGAGGCGGAAAAAAAGGCGGAAGAGGCCAAAGGCGGAATATTGAAAAGATTTCAAAATTTAGAAAAAAAAATAAAAATTATGCCAAAAAATGAATAGGATTTCAAAATTCAAAATATTATTATAGATTACTTGTAATTTCATACAGGAGTCCCAGCATAAATAGTTATAAATAGTTATTGACCGATTTTATCATTGTGATATTTTTGCATTATATTAAGAATGTAGTAACTGGGGTCCATACATTAGAGGAGAGACTTATCAATGATAATGTTTCTTACTTTGAATCCGTGGTTATCTCCCTTTAGCTCTAATTCTCTCTCTTTGTGATTTCTATACCGTAAGGCTGCTTGCGCCTTTTCACCGGGACTTCACTTTGAGGTGCGAACAAATTTTCATTCCGAATAAGCGGCCCAGAGAAAAACAGTTTGGGAACCATTGCCATAGAAATTGATTTGCCGCTGAACAAAACCAATCAACCAAACGCCAGGCTTGTTTAGAAATATGTAAACTGTGTACAATCACTTCCTCAGATCGATGTTTAAAAATATCTTTGAGCGAGACCAGCATGTATCCAGAGCCGTCTCAAGGTACTGACCACTCGTGCAGTCGCCCGAGGCGCCATCAAGGCCGACGGAGCCATCATGCCGCCATCTTATGTGTTTGCGATTTTCCAAAACTAAAGCTTATAAAATCATACTTGAGGTCGTCTATGACTCAAGACAGATTGGATTCTTTGGCTATTTTGACAATAGAAAATGATCTTGTAAAGAAGATAGGTGAAGAAAGTGCTGTTGCATAGTTCTCTCATGCCAATTCGATAAAAATGAATCTTCTCTCTCGTCTTCTTCCGAAATGTTTTGGGTCCAGAGATGAAAGAGATGAAAGGACTCCAACATAGATAATTTTAACTTCACTATTTTATTAATATCTATATGTAGTAACTATCCAGTAGAGTCGTCCCGCCTCATTGGGGATCCGTTTCAGACACGAAAGTGAACACGTCTACATCGCTTGTCCGTCAAGAAAAACCGTTCTATATCTATCATTCTCATGCAAAATCGACTTCCTTATTTTGTCTTACACCTGACCCTGAAGATCAACCCTCAAAAGTTGGCGCTGAGATACACTTCCAACTAAAAATAATAGACTGCTAAACTATTATTTAACAGTGCCATGAAAAGATTTGCAGATCTAAAGGCCCCCAAAAAATGTTTTTGGTAAGAATATTTTCTTTAGCTTTTATTAACTTGTATATTGTTATAAACTAGTTATTCTATATTTTCAGTTTCTGACTGTGAGAAAATGTTAAAAAATTATACTTGTAAGAGTGCCAAGGTTCAGCTTTCCCGAGTCAGCAGCAACCCCCAGGCCGTCATTACGTGTAGGTTTCAACAAGGATTATCCTCTATCGAGCCTCGTGGACTTGCGGTAAAGAATCACAAAGAACTTTACAAAATAACGGAAAGATCTTGAAGACTTTCAACAGCAGCAACAAGTAAAATGGATAGCACGTGTAACTCGAAGAGAATGTAATGAGATAATCAAGATGTTGAAGTTCCCCACTACTTCAAACAAAAGCTTAGGAAGGATGAATCGATGGCCACTCACATTCGAGGATGTCCGTCTACTAGGGCGGCTAGCCAATCCCTATTGCAGACGTTCGCTCAGGCAGATTTGTGTTTGTTCAACACCCTCAGAGCCCACCTGTGATTTTGTTGTAGAGTAGTTTTCAAAGTGGAGGCTTGTATTTCAAGAAGTCGGCCCTAAAAGGGTCCGACGTACAAAACGTTAGGAACTTGCAATAATAGTTAATGACGTAGCAATCTAGTTGTGGTCGTTGATACTTCAATGTCCGACATCGACTGACTCACACAACTCCACTGAGCCCAACTGGCGACTGCTACTACTACTTATTATGTGTGGTAGAGTCTATTACAATAGAATAGGTAATGTTCTAGTATAACAGATTTATACTGCAGCTATACCGAGCGGAGATTAGTTATAGTTCATGGGAGAGAGCGCAGTTACTTAACGTGATCAACAGTCTGAACAAGGCCAGGACGCCCAGACGTTCGGTCACGCTAGCACAAACATCAACGACTCCCAAAGGCTCCAAATTTCACTCACAAGGCTTGAGTCAATCCGTGGTATCGTTTGCAGGCACTTTTCAAAGGTACCGCACATTGAGATCGCCTTCCCTAGACTGATAACATCAAGGTCGCCTTCCCGACGAATCGACCATAGTTAGATTCGAACCCGGGTCTAATCAGAAACGTTTTAAACACCCGGCCATGTGCCCATGTTAGGAAGTACATCCCCCTCCCGCTAATCAAAACTGGAAAGAGCAATAAACGTTTCTAGGCATGAGAACCTATTTTCCTGAAAAAACAATTTCAGTCGATATTAGCACGGTCAATGAACGAATGGTTCTATATGTATGTGTAGATAGCCACTTGTATTCGATAATACCAATCTATTAAGGGGGGGTAACCAATCTCTATTGCAGACGCTTGCTCAGGTGCATTTGTGTTTATTAAATACCCATAGAGCACATGTGTAGTTTATAGTAGACCTTAGTTACAGTTTCTGGGAAAGAGCGTGTTATCTTGTGTGATCAACAATTTGAACAAAGTCCGCACACTCATGCCCTCGGCCACGATGACTTGTGACTAACACAGCTATTTCACTCACAAAGCATGGTATGGTTTTCAGTCACTTTCCAAACGTGCCGTACGCTGGGATCGACCCCTCCCATCCGATAACACCAGGAAGTCTCCTTCCTGACAAATCGACCGTGGTAAGATACAAACCCGGGTCTTATGGTCAGAATTCGAACGTCTCAGCGTAAATGGTAAGAGATTCGAATCTTGTCAAAGGACATGAAATATTACGGTCCATATAAGAAAACAGCTAAGGGCATCTCGGCGTTGTGTAATGGTTAGCAAGCTTGTCTCGCTAGGAATAAAGGAAGAGGAAGAGGACAAGACATTAAAGGAATAAAGGAAGAGCAAGAGGACAAGACATTAAATGAATAAAGGAATAAAGGAAGAGGACAAGACATTAAAGGAATAAAGGAAGAGCAAGAGGACAAGGCATTAAAGGAATAAAGGAAGAGGAAGAGGACAAGACATTAAAGGAATAAAGGAATAAACATGGCATTAAAGGAATAAAGGAAAGGACAAAGAAAAAGGACATTAAAGGAATAAAGGACAAAGGCAAAAAGGACAAGGCATTAAAAGGAATAAAGAAGAGGAAAAGGACAAGGCATTAAAGGAATAAAGGAAGAAGAGGGAAGGAGGACAAGACTAAAGGAATTAAAGGAATAAGAATAAAGGAAAGGAAGGACAAGACATTAAAGGAATAAATGAAGAGGACAAGACATTAAAGGAATAAAGGAAGAGGACAAGGCATTAAAGGAATAAAGGAAGAGGAAGAGGACAAGACAGAGGAAGAGGACAAAAAAAGGAATAAAAAAAAGAACATTAAGCTGATAAAAAGGAAGAGCAAGAGGACAAGACATTAAAGGAATAAAGAAGGACAAGACATTAAAGGACAATGCATTAAAGGAATAAAAGGAAGAGGAAGAGCAAAAGGACATTAAAGGAATTAAAGGGAATAAAGAAGAAAAGAAGAAGGACAAGACATAAAGGAAGAGGAAAGGACAAGACATTAAAGGAATAAAAGGGAAGGACAAGACATTAAAGGAATAAAAAGGAAGAGGACAAGAAGACAAGACATTAAAGGAATAAAGGAAGAAAAGGACAAGAATTAAAGGAATAAAGGAAGAAAAGGACAAGACATTAAAGGAAGAGGACAAGGCATTAAAGGAAAAGGAATAAAAAGGAATACAAGAGGACAAGACATTAAAGAAGAGGACAAGACATTAAAGGAATAAAGGAAGAGGAAGAGGACAAGGCATTAAAGGAATAAAGGAAGAGGAAGAGGACAAGACATTAAAGGAATAAAGGAAGAGGACAAGACATTAAAGGAATAAAGGAAGAGGAAGAGGACAAGACATTAAAGGAATAAAGGAAGAGGAAGAGGACAAGACATTAAAGGAATAAAGGAAGAGGAAGAGGACAAGACATTAAAGGAACATTAAAGGAATAAAGGAAGAGGAAGAGGACAAGACATTAAAGGAATAAAGAAGAGCAAGAAGACAAGACATTAAAGGAATAAAGGAAGGAAGAGGACAAGACAAAAGGAAGGACAAAGCATTAAATGAATAAAGGAATAAAGGAAGAGGACAAGACATTAAAGGGAAAGGGAAGAGGAAGAGGACATGAAAGGATAAAGGAAAGGAATAAAGGACTAAAAGGATGAGGACAACAAGACATTAAAGGAATTAAAGGAATAAAGGAAGAGAATAAAGGGAAGAGGAAGACATTAAAGGAACAAAGGAGGACATTGAATGAATAAAGGAAGAAGAAAGGAAGAAAGGAAATTAAAGGAACATTAAAGGAATAAAAGGAAAGCAAAAGGAAAGACATTAAAGGAATAAAGAGACATAAAGGAATAAAAAAAGGACAAGACATTAAAGGAATAAAGGAAGAGCATGAGGACATGACATTAAAGGAATAAAGGAAGAGGAATAGAGATAAATATAAAAAGAAAAAAGAAAAGGAAAAATGCAGGACGAAGGATAAAATATGATAAAATATTATAAGGTTTTCGACTTGTCTTCTCGACTGCAGTATAACCCTTGATAACATTATCTTTGGACTCCAATTTTTAATTATAAAAAAATCTTTTCTTGATAGGAAAAAGAAAAAAAAACTTCTGTAGTGAAAATGGCTGAGGGACCTTCAACAAAAAATTATCTTGAATTCTTTAGTAACCTGGTCTGCTTTATGATGAGCCATATCTCCTACTTGTCAGAAAAGGTGCCCATGCTCGCCAGAATGAATAATAATAATAATAACAAAGTTCTTATAGAAAAGTATATTTACGTTGAAATTCCGCACTCTGTATTCGATGAAAATGCATATAAGATCCTCATGTTGTTTCATATCAGTCCAATTGTCATCTTCAGGAATGCCTCTATCCTCACGCGTTGTCAAGCACAACTTCAGTTGAATTTCACCCTGGATGTTGGATTTTGACGAACGTCCTTCCAATTTGTACCATTTTTCGATACCGGAAGAGGGGATGTCATGAAAATCATAGGAAATAAATAGAAATTTAGTTGCAAGTATAATATATATATATATATATATATATATATATATATATATATATATATATATATATATATATATATATATATATAAAGCGATGAAACATAAAACAAACAAACACATAATTCAATAAAAGTAACGTAACGGACCTAATGAAATAAATACATGCGCCACCATCCCAGCTTCTCTCCTTGGTTCTACTCATTTTATGATTTTTATTAACGATCTATATAAAAGGGACATTATCAGATCACTAGAAAAGGCACATGGAAGCTATGTTATAGCGGTGGAAAATTGATTAAAATGAGATGCCAGGTTAGGACCGATAACATTGTAGATTCTTGTTTGAATTTTATTAAGAATCTCTAAATACATGACAGAATCACCAGAGCAGACGTGGCAGCAATATTCAAAGAATAAATGAACGGCAGACTTATAAATGTGTAAGACAGATTTTGGCGAGAAAAAAAGGTTTAGCACAGCACAGTTTCCTAGAAGCTTACCTAAGAATTGATTAAATATAATCTTTCTTACAAAAATATTGTATGATTTTTTTCGGCTGTGAATTCAGTATCCCAAAATATCCCAAAATAATCTGAGATAACCAAAAAGTCAAGGTACCAAAGATGAAAATTCATCAAAACAATTGCCCTGAAAATATTTATAGAAAAAGCATAGTTGGTAGTTGGATGAGCTGAGATGCCAGGTCACGATCAATAATATTGAAGATTCTTCTTTGGATTTTATCAGGAATCTCTAAATATATAGCAGAATCACCAGACCAGATGTGGCAGCAATATTCGATGCATGTACGATGACAGATTTATAAATGTACAGGATAAATTTCTAGCTCGAGACAATAAATCAGTTTTCGTAGGTGAAGACTTAGCAAGTGATTCCATATATTATTATAAATTACTAGCAAGCTTCACCCGCTTCGCAAAGTAAGATATTCAGTAGTTGAAATCTTTGAAACAAAAATTTTAAATGAACATTTCATTCATAAATTGACTTGTTATGGAAAGTTTTACAAATAGATGCCAACATGTCGAAGGTTAAGTAAAATACTAATTTAAAACACTTTTCTGTACTATATAAGACAATATTTCTAAAGAGAACTATTTTTGATATGAAAATCAAAACAATCCTCGAATGTAATGAATGCTAATTAATTAATGAAATAAGCTTTTTAAAAATCAGTATGCAAATTAGTTAATTCTGAAGAGTGATATTGCCTAGAAGTGGATAATATATAATACAGATATTAAGGTTTTATCAGGTCATCCCATAAATTCTGTCCGAATTTTGAATAAAGAAAACAAGTGACCAAATATGACATTTAATTACAGATTCAATCAACAATGTATTTTCCCTGATTATCTATGACTTCCTTCCATCTATTAACAAACTTACTAATTCCATTACTGTAAAATTCTTTTGGCTTTGATTCAGAGAACTCACAAATGTCAGTTTTAACATTCTTCCTGTGTTACAAAAGCTTTTTTTCTTCCAAATGATTCTGTAAATTTACGAAACAAATGGTAGTCTGAAGGGCAAGATCGGGAGAATAAAGTGGATGAAGAATTTTCTCTCAACCAATCTTTTTGTGACGTGATTCTTGCTGTGGGGTCGCGCATTGTCCTGATGAAGCATCACCTCTTTTCGATTCACTAGAGCAGGTCTTTTTTTTCCTCAAAGCTTGGTTCAAACGCTCTAATTGCTGACAGTATATTTGAGCATTAATTGTTGCATTAGGTAGTAAGAATTCAAAGTGGATTATTCCTTGGCGATCACACCAGATTGAAAGAAGAACCTTTTGCCCATGAAGTTCCTTCTCGGCTATGGCTGGGGTCCTTCCTTTTACCAAGCCACTGTCTACGACGCTTAACATTTCGATAAAGATCCATTTTTCGTCGCCAGTCACAAGTCTATCCAAAAAGGTGAAACAAGTTAACGAGAATGGAGAGAAGAGCAGATCTCAACTCAGGATTTGAGGTTGTTTTCAAACAATTCATGAGGCATCCATTTTTCAAGTTTAGGAACTTTTCCAAGTTGTTGAAGATGACTTGGAACAGTTGTATGGTTTGAACTGAGAACCACTGCCAATTCCTCAACTGATAAAGCAGGATTTTCTTCAAGGGCTGCTTCAAGAAGCTTTTCATCAAACTCAACTGGACGTCCGGTTCGATCTTCATCTTCAAGGGTGAAATCTCCATCTCTGAATTTTTCAAACCATCTTCTGCAAGTTCTTTCATTCACACATTCCTCTCCATAAACCGAGTGAATGTTTCTAGCCGATTCGGCTGCTGAGTTTCCTTTCTTGAACTCATAAAGCATTATGTGCCTCAAATGATTCTTGGGTACTTCCAAAAGGACAGGGTTTTAATCAAAAAAAAAATTTAATTTTATTGTTCTCTGAAATAAAATTTGATCAGTTTAAATGCATCTAAACATAAAAATAATGTTCAGCTCCATTAGACATTATAAAATACTCTTTAAATTTCGTTCATTTTAACAAAAAGTTAAAATTCGGACAGAACTTAGCTGATAGTATGTAAATTACTATAAAGTAGAACTGGTTCTTTTTATTCTCAGAATTCGTGGGAGAATTGAGCTCCAATTTTGCATTTATTCAGTGGGAGCGAAGGAGGTGCTTGGACACAAATACATACAATGTGCTTTATATATAAGATTAATGCTTATCAATATTTCCCCAATATTCTTCAAGTTACGTTTAAAAGTTACATACAAGCATAAAAAGTTAAAAAAATCTAAGTCTTTGTACAAAAGTCACATGATTCAAGACCCATTTTGATTACTTCAACCACCGCTTTTATCCCCTGGGCCATGTGTCCAAAGAGTTGTGACCACAGCAGAGGTGAACAAAACTTGGAGAGTTTAGTTATTAAAGAGAAATAACTGAAACTAAGATATCCAGAAAAGGCATGGCACGTGGAACTAGAAAAACCTACACCTCCCCAGTACTAAATAAATGGTTCGGTTCGAAATTCCAACGTATATCCCCTGAAGAAGACCGGAGCGTACAACGGCCGAAATAAAGATAAGGACAACAGTCCGAACAAAGTAAAGAGTGTAAATCGTTACAACTACCTCATCCGAGGATTATAGACAGATATATTTTATTATATACATAGCTGACCGCTCATATTCAAGGATACCCGTCTACTAGGGTGGCTAGCCAATCCCTATTGCAGACGCTTGCTCAGGCGCATTTATATTTATTAAACAAGCAGAGAGTCCATCTATGGTTTATACTGCAACTATGCTGAGCAGACCTTAGTTACAGTTTCTGGAAAAGAGTGTGTTATCTAGCGTATCAATAATTTGAACAAGGCCAGCAGGCTCAAGACCTCGGCCACGCTATCGACAGCCTCCAAGAGTCCCGTCTACCCAATGTCACTCATAACGCTTGGAGAAACCCGTGGTATGGTTTTAAGGCAATTTCCAAAGGTGCGACATGCTGGGACTGATCCCTTTAGTCCAATAACAACAGGAAATCTTCTTCCTAGCAAATCGACTATGGTGAGATTTGAACCCGGGTCTCATTGTCAGAATGCCAACGTTCCAACAACTCAGCCATGTGATATATTTTATCATATATTGTTATATTATCAATATATGAGTGCGTGGCCGAGTGATTAGGACATTCGCTTTTTGGTATTGATACCCGGGTTCGATTTTCACCATGGACGATTTACTAGCAAAATTTACCTGCCAACCCTGACACAGATTAACTCAAGCCTTGTGAATGAAATTGGACAAACGGGACTATTTGGGGCAACACCGTCTGCTGCGAGGAAGTAGGAAGATTATATTGAATCAGTTGCTCGCTTTGCTGAGAGGAAAGTTAGTTCATTGTGTCTGGCTAGAAAATTCTTCTCTCCAGAAACTTTCTTATTTGTTTCTAAGTCTACCAATCGTTCATGTTTTGAATATTGCTGTCACATCTGGTATAGTGCTTCTGCTATGTGTTTAGAGATTCTCGACAAAAATCTAAAGAAGAATCTGCAATTTTATTAGTCCTGACATGGCATCTCGGCTTTAGTCACTTTTCCACCGCTACAACAATTATTCCCTGTGCCTTTTCTATAAATACTTTCATTATAATTGTTCTGATGAGCTTTCATCTTTTGTACCTGGATTTTATGAATTTAAACGCAATACTGAATTGGCAGCAAGTTCACATCATATTATAGTTTAAATATCTATATGTATCCTTATGTTCTATGCAAACAGTTTCTTTTATCGCACTTCTCGCTTGTGGACTTTTTGTTTCCCTGTCAACTTTGACCTGCAATAATTTAAATGAAATGTCAATCGTTATCTTCTGTCTTCTTAATTCTTGTTCTTTTATTGTCCTCTCTCCTTAATAGTAGTTTTTCTCATATTCTCTAACACTCAGTAACCCCTTGCGTCCTAGTGGCTTTATTGCCTTTGATCTTCAAAATTTAAATGCAATGTCAATCGTTATCTTCTGTCTTCTTAATTCTTGTTCTTTTATTGTCCTCTCTCCTTAATAGTAGTTTTTCTCATATTCTCTAACACTCAGTAACCCCTTGCGTCCTAGTGGCTTTATTGCCTTTGATCTTCAAAAATTTAAATGCAATGTCAATCGTTATCTTCTGTCTTCTTAATTCTTGTTCTTTTATTGTCCTCTCTCCTTAATAGTAGTTTTTCTCATATTCTCTAACACTCAGTAACCCCTTGCGTCCTAGTGGCTTTATGCCTTTGATCTTCAAAAATTTAAATGCAATGTCAATCGTTATCTTCTGTCTTCTTAATTCTTGTTCTTTTATTGTCTTCTCTCCTTAATAGTATATTTTTCTTATATTCTCTAGCACTCAGTAACACCTAGCATCTTAGTGGCTATATTGTCTTACTTGGGG